GTACTTCTCATATATTGTATACTTAAGTATCAAAAAATCAAATAAACATGGTTCACTAATTCACCTCTTCTTCTTGGTGTTCTCTTTATTTCTAACATGTTTGTTCTAACTTTATAGAGTTTGTTTTATTTTTCATATATGATGTACTAATATTGTGTTTCTAGGTATGACGAGCTTTGGATCAAGAAAGAGTGGACATAATAAATTTGTGACTCAGTTTCTTGATGTCGATTGTCATGGAGATGTTGGTGGTTGGGATTGATTCTCGATCAGTTATACCTAAAGGCCCACATGTAGAAAAGTTTTAGAGTTACTTGGGCATGCTAGCCAAAATGCATGTCTTTATTGTCATTGCCTCTTGGGATGACGTTCTAAAGATGAAGAAGAAGCTCTTATGGAAGGATATTCTTGTATGTTTACTTAAAACAAATATGGTTTTAAATATGTTTTACTTAATTCATTAACATCTTTTTTGTTTTCAATAGAAAAATTTTAACATTTTGAAATAAATAAGGAACAAGGTCTCTTATCCCACATAGATAATAAATGGTCGGTGATGCTCCAAGGCAGAACAACATGTATGGTACTCATGACAATGATGAATTCATTCTTGATATTAGTGAAACTCTATCTTTCTGATCAAATATGCCAACCTTGAATGTCGATAATGAAGTAGATGACGTCCATGCCATATGTGATCATCCCCACAAAGGGTTGTGGGAGGACATTCAAACTTGACTATATAGAAATTCAAATTTTGTATGTATTTTAATTTTAATTTTATTTATTAATTCTTACTAACACTTAATTAATTGAACAAGGATATATATGGTGACTCACCATATGATGACCTTCCCACCTTCATAAGGAGGGGACAAGATTCATGTGCCTACCAGAAAAAAAGGATAAATCTGGAAGTAGGTAGAATGAGTTGAAAGCTCCACACAGTGTTGAGCATATGTTGTCCATTCGTTTTGATATGCATATCATAAACCTTTGGGAGAGAATAACACGAAATTCATCTGTTAAATTTCACTATATCCACCTAACTATGATACTAAAATCTATAATAATATAAACATTTGAAATTTTGCTAAAAATAATAATTATATATATTATATATATATATATATATATATATATATAATTTAACTCTTTCCTTAGTAAACTTAAGATTAAAATGCTAAGGTTACATTATAAGATTAATGATATATCATTAGTGAAACAAGTAAAGTCCAAAGAAAAATAGTACTATAAATTTTAAAATAAGGACATGTTTGGTCATGGATTTGTTTCTAAGAAATAACTATTTGTTTAAACTAATATAAGGTGCTTTAATTTGAAAACTTTTGTTAGTACAAAAATAATCTAAGTATATGCCAAATGTATACTAGTTAGCTAAAATTGAAGGTTTAAAGTGCAACAAATACCTAAAAGCAATTTTTTTTTTGTTTCTTTCTTTTGTCGTATGGGGGTTTAAACTTTTTTAACCTTTTAAATGCATTAATGCAACACGGGAAGAAAACAAAATGTGTTTTCTTGGATTTAGCTCCAAAAGGTTCATTTTATACTTATCATTAAAAAATTGTACATGGAACCTTGTACTTTAAATATAATTTCGCATAAAAAAAGTTAATAATGGAAGATGCTAATGTCTTTTTCTACCCATTACTAGAATCCACCTTTTTAAACAAAATTACCATTGAACTAAAAGATTTGGTAAATGACTGAAAATAAAGTAAGTGATATTCAACTTTTATTATAAGACTTCAATTTAATAAGCTAGGTTACATATTAACAATTAATTTCGGTCATACAAATGCGTGTAATAAGTTCATCTTAAAACATTTCTTTTAGTGTGATTAAACTTACCAATAAGTAATTATTTAAAAATACATCTTTTAAGATTAAGCAAAAAACATAGTTAAAAGAAGAGAGCTACCAACATATTTTTTAACATTTTCTTTATGAAATAAACTTTATTAAAAATTACAATAAAAAATATATTCAAAAATATTTTTCACTGCACAATTTTTATTTTTTTTATTTTTCAATTTATCGACTCGTTAATACCCACCAAGTTACTCATATCTTAAAAATAGTTCATCTCTCGCCACAATCTCAACTACACTTTTTTTTTTCTTTTTTATGTGATTCCATTCGAAAGTTGAAGATTTATTTCAATAAATTAAATAACTTTTAAGATATATATTTCATCAGTTATGTTTCTTTTTATTATTTTTATTTTTATTTATTTCTTGACATGTCAGAGTGTCTCATTATTAATTTTAAGTGTTTAATAATGTACATCCTAACTTATTAGATAATATTAAAAAAACATATTTTCTTTTCACTTTTTAGTTTCATTTTATTTAAACAACTATTATTTTACTACACAATTTTTATTTTTTATTTTCCATCAACTATTTAAATTGTTTGATATCTATCAAATTTACTTATATCTCGAGGTACTTTCTCTTTTCACTATTTGAAAAATAATGTATTTTCTCTTTCAATATTTAAGAAAATAATAGATGTTACAATTGTCATGAAATTTTAATTATGTTGTTGTATAATTACTAGACATTTAGGAAATTATTACGTGGTACTCTATTTTAAGATTTTTACAATTATGATTTTTTTATATTTAACATTAAAAAAAGTGTATGTTCTTTTTGATGTCTAACATTAAAAAAATATGCATCTTTCATATATTAAATCCTTAAAAATATTCTAGAATAAGATATTTGATATTCAACAAAAATTATGTTTTATTTATTTTTTAAACAAAAAAGTTTAATTAAGTTTCAAGTCTTTTACGAATATTGAAATTTTCAATTGAGTTTTTATTAAAACTTTTTTTATCTATTGGATAGACAAAATTTTATGTTTTCCAGTTGAGTTCAGGTTGTGTAATTTTTCTGTAACATGAATGATATTTTATTTTGTTATTAGTACCCTTAACACCTTAGCTAGATCCACCATTTTTTTAAAGTTATTTCTCTTACAGAAAAGTCAGGATTAGTGTTGTTAGTGATGAAATTATTCTATATATTTTTTTTCGTGTGTAAAACAGAAACTATCATTCAATACTTTTTGACCCATAGAGAATGAACTATATAATACCTTTGTATAAAATTTAGATATTATTTTGAATCCAAAATTATTGATCAAAATTTCTCTTACTTATTAATCTTCAAGTAATTAATATGAAAAAATAAATAACTTTTATAACTTTCATTGAAAACATGTCACATAACAAAGGAATAACTATGGTTACTTATATCAAGGATAGTAACAACATCCATCCCTTAGTCATTACATATGATAACATGAAAGTCATCAAATTATTATTAACATGTTTTCAATTAAAAAAATATATAAAATCTAATAAAAACTCAACCAATAAATAGAGAGAGATATATATATATATATATATATATATATAAAGTGGAAGAAATCCTAAACCCTAAACCCAAAATATAATATAAAATATTAATATATATATATAAAATTAAAAAAAAAAATTAAGGTACACACTTACATCCCCATATCACCCTATATTCAATACACAAACTTAAGAGAAAAAGCAATAAAATTGAAAGTGTAAATTAGAACATAGGAAAAAGTATCTAAATATGAAAGATGAAAGGGATTTAAAAATCTACCTGACTCCTGAATATGATAAGAAATGGAATCCTAAGATTGAAGTTTTGTACCGATGTGGGAGTTTTACTCTAACATGTTATTGTTATAATTTGATGAAAAACATATATAAAAAGCGAAGTAGAAAAAGGAGACTGTTGTCGCACAAAGGAAGTATCCACGGTGTTTCCCAGCATGCAGCAGCAACTTTGATTGTGCCTACCATTCTCACTTTCTTAGAATCTCCTCTTCATCTACCACAACACTACACATACACTCTCTTTTCTCTTTCTCTTTCTCTTTTCCTCTTTGGAACCTTCAATGCCTCCAACATCTCCATTCTCCATATGTCACACTATCATCACCTTCCACTATTTCTAACTATGCTTTTCTTAATCTATATATGTGTACACATTTTAGAGACTATACAAAGAATTTGGATTCTCTTTTCAAGCTTTTGCTATTCTTTCTGTCTTTTATGTCGATTGATGTTGATGTTTTAAAATATATTAATAAAAATTAATGTGAAAAGAGTAATTCCAATTTGAGTTTTATTAATTATTCTACACTAGCATGATGTCACCGTTAAGATTATTTTAACCCAGTGAACACACATGCACAATATTAATTAGTATTACTACAGAACTACCACCTTGAGCAGTCATATAATCACAGTTACCAAAGCTTGAAGCTTTTACCATCATCTCAGTAAAGAACGTATAAAAACATTAATGTCTTTGTTGTAATTTTGATAATCCTACCTTATTGAAAAGGGATGCCTCTGAGGATAGTCCTAGATAAAATACAAGGTTTTAATTGTAAAATAAAAGGGGGCCACAGAAACTACAGAGTCCTGACAAAGCGTGACAAAGTTAAAAAACAAGACAAACAATATTCATTCCATAGTAAAATCAAACTTTCAAAAACTATTCCCAAATATATATACATATATAATAATACCAACATGCATCCTTCATATAATTTATATTTTTCATATTGAAGAAACCATCAACCAATTATATATATATATATATAGTGTATGACATTGGCACCCATTTTTTCACCTATGGCTTCTGAGACACACACACCCTTCTGCCTAGAAACAAGAAGAAAGAGCCTGGAGAGAAAGAGAATCAAATCCTTTCCTTAAACTTTACGCCTCCATAACACACCAACAAGAGAAAAGAAAAACAAAAATCAAACACTCTCTCTTCTTCTCTCTCTCTTTTTCCCATGCATTAAAATCTTTTACAATTTTCACTTTTCCACTTTCCCACCTCACACTCTTTAAATTCCCACAAGAACGAGGTTTGGCTTCACTTTTCAGTCACCACTTCAAAACTCTCACCTTTTGTTCTTCTTGTTGTTCCCTTTTTCTCTCCCTACAACAGCAGCACACAAACACACCTATCTATTTCTACATGGGTTCTTGCAAACCCCAACAAGAACATGTTCATGGGCCTATCATCATAGGTGCCGGTCCTTCAGGCCTAGCCGTGGCTGCGTGTCTCTCGGAGCACAAAGTCCCTTTCGTGATTCTTGAGAGAAGCAACTGCATAGCCTCTCTTTGGCAACACAAAACCTACGACCGTCTCAAACTCCACCTCCCAAAGCAGTTCTGTGAGCTTCCCTTGAAGGGTTTTCCCCACAACTTCCCCAAGTACCCCACAAAGTACCAGTTCATATCCTACATGGAGTCCTATGCCTCACACTTCAACATTCACCCCAGGTTCAACCAAACAGTCCAAACTGCTCACTTCGATAAAGGGTCTCAGCTTTGGCTGGTTAGGACTCAGCACTGTGAGCTTCTCTCTCCTTGGCTCGTGGTCGCCACTGGGGAGAATGCTGAGCCTGTGCTCCCTAGAATTCATGGCATGGACCATTTTTCTGGCTCCATTGCTCACACCAGTGTCTACAAGTCTGGCTCTGAGTACAGAAACCAGAAGGTTCTGGTCATTGGCTGTGGCAATTCAGGAATGGAAGTTAGCTTAGACCTTTGCAGACACAATGCCTCACCTTACATGGTTGCAAGGAACACAGTAAGTTCACCCTCCTTTCTACTCATGAACTTTTCAATCGGCACCTGACACAAATATCAGCACAACCAAATCAGTTTTCAAAGTTAAAAACATAACCTTCTACAACTCAGCTTTTGACACAAGTTCATTTTTTTTTACAGTAAAGGTTTATGAAAAAATGAATCTTCTCTCAATGTATTACCATGTTGTGTTGTGTGTGTTTTTTGTATTTGGTTGACTCTGTAACTGTTTATTGAAGTGAAATTTTTGGTTTTGATTAAAAAACATGGATAAAAATCACTTTTTGGAGATGGACTAAAGAAGGTTTTTTTATTTTTTATTTTGGTTAAATGGGTGGTTTTTAGTGTTAATGATGAGTGTGTGTGACTGTTCCAGTCTGAAATTGACGTCATTTATGTTTTTTTCCCATTTGGGTAACTAGTGATCAACTTTGAGGGAGTGGTCTTTGCTCACTTTGTTGCATGGTTTAAATGATGCAAGGTGCATGTGCTTCCTAGGGAGATGTTTGGCTTCTCAACGTTTGGCATAGCCATGGCTCTTTACAAGTGGTTTCCCATAAAAGTTGTAGACAAAATTCTCTTACTTGTGACCAACTTCATGTTGGGCAACACCAATCACTATGGCATCAAAAGGCCCAAAACAGGCCCAATAGAGCTGAAACTAGCCACAGGGAAAACCCCAGTCCTTGATGTGGGTCAAGTTGCACAGATCAAATGTGGCAACATAAAGGTATATGCTTTGAAGAGTTGGTGCAAAATGAAATGACCCCATTTGGTTGATTCATGAGAATTATGTTTGTGAGTGTTAAATTTTGAGAATTGATGATGATGGATGCAGGTGATGGAGGGTGTGAAGGAGATAACAAGAAAAGGTGCCAAATTTATGGATGGACAAGAAAAGGAATTCGATGCTATAATCTTGGCAACAGGGTACAAGAGCAACGTGCCTACTTGGCTTAAGGTTAGAATTTTATCTCTGTTGTGTTGCGTTTTTAGCGCTATCTTATTATCATGAACCACTCATGACATGTCGCTGTCTGGATTTGGGACACATGCATACTGCACAAACCTACAAATCTCTTCTTTTCTTCATTCCAAAGCTGAAGAATAAAATCACTTCCTAACCTTTGCTTGGTTCTACCTCTCCCTTTTTCTTCATCACAAAACCATTCTACTAAAAACAAAAAACTCTGCTCTCATAGTGACGTGTTTTTGATGTGAAACATCATCACCAAATATTATAAAAAATGGATCTTTCTAATAAAAGATACGCATAGAGAAAAGTAATAGGTGAAACTTTTGCTTCTAATTATTCACTAATCAAATTCTGTGTTTTGGGTAAAGGGTAAAGGGTATGCATGCATATTCCTAAAAGTTATGTTGCAAGATTCTATTTTAGTTATGGTATTTATTTTTTTGTCTTGTGGGCGATCATATATATGTATATGTATGAAAAACTTGAACTTTTTTTTTTACTATTTTAGGGTTGTGATTTTTTCACTGAGGATGGAATGCCGAAAACACCCTTTCCCCATGGGTGGAAAGGGGAGCAGGGATTGTATACGGTGGGGTTCACCAGAAGAGGCATTCAAGGAACATCGTGTGATGCAATCAAGATCGCTGAAGACATAGCCTCACAGTGGAGAACCGTAGAGAACAAGAATCAATGCAATTCACATATCATCCTTCTCACTTCATAAGACTCCAAAAAAAATCCGACTTTTTTTTATTGAGAAAAAAAAAGAAAAAAAGGAGAAATACCAAGTTAGGAATTACTACCTGTGCAATTAGGCTAGTTTTTTATTTTTTGTTTTATTTTAATTATTTTTGTTATTACCTTTTTACCCCTCTCTTTAGCTGGCATGTACATGCAATTTTGTATCTTTAGGAGCATACGCTTTTCTAACTACTAAAAGCTTTACTTGCTTTGTACAAAACAGTTTCATAAATGGGATGGTATCTTGGTTAACAAAGTGTAGTTGTATAAAAAAAGTTGTGGATTGTGAAATAATACTATATATGTTTCTTATTATAATATCTTTTTAATTTTTTATATTCAGTTTCATTTCTTTTAGTACATAAGAAGGTTTGTGAGATGTTTCAAGAAGTTTATAATTATTTATAAGACTAATTTGAAAACAAAATGGTACCAATTGAAAAGTTACTTCGAAAGGTGGAAAATTTTCAAAAGGTCAGACATAGTTAACATTAAAAGAGAAATACTAGTGAAATTAATTAATTAATTAATTTAGTGGCACAATAATAATAATAATGTAGTTTGTCTTGTTAGAGCATTGATCTTTCCGAGTCCTAACAAATTAATGTAGTTTATCTGAGTACTAACTGCAGAACATATACTTCTATCAAAACATAACAAAAGTTATTAATTCAATTGAGGTTGATTTTAACAACCTTCAACCGAGTTCGATTTGTAATACATAAAACTTATACAATACAAATTAATTCACCAATCTCTACATACAATATAAAATAAATAAAAAATTACTCCTAATTTTTTAATAAAATTATCTAATTTAACCTAACTTGTCTAATTTTTCAAACAATACGATAAACCCAACTATACTATTTATGTTAGAGAAGATAGTCTACCCATTGTTATATTTTCTACAACATATTATCATGGTACAATGGAGTTTCATTTTGAAAAAAATTAGGATAAGTTAGATCAAGAAGAGGTTAATTGGGTTTGAAAGCTTTCTTAAAAACATTAACATATTCTTAAACTCTTACATAAACAAGTCTAATTAAAAAAGGTTAATGCTGTTAATTAATCGATATTAATAAAGATAACATGCAAAATAAATAATAAAAAAAAGTAAAAAGTTATATACTAGTTTATACCACAATAGATCCTTCTTTGAATCTTAAAATAACTAAAATCAATTATTTTTATACATCAATTACAAACATACGACATATATGAAACAAAACTCTTCAACACATTCAAGGAGACTAATGTTGTGTCTGGGTTTGAAGATGAATTTGATGAGACACATTTTTAAATAATATTTGTTTTAAATGCAAAAGGAAATAACATTTTATTTTCTCATACTAGACTACTAAACATAGTTTATGTGTATAAATTTGGGGTGCACGTGCGTGGCACCTGATTTTGACAGAAAGATGACAAGTTTGAGACAGAGAGGTGCAGCCATTTTGGTGTTTGTTACTGTGAGTATGGTGGTTTTCATACAAATCCTTTCGTCACACTTTCAATGCTTCAAAGAAAACTTTCAACAGTGAAAACCATTACTTTGGGAAAACGTGTGGGAGAGAAATATCGCTTCTTTCGGAAACTGGATTTCCAGCCACACCCTTTTATTAATTGCCTTCCTAATTCCATACCAACCTCTTTTTCTCTCTCTTTTCTTACTTTTAAACAGACTCAAAATTCTAATAATTCTAACATTCGCCTAAATCTCATATGTAAAATTACATATTCAAATCTATTATGATTGTAATTTATGTATAAAAACTTTCTTATTTTATAAAAAATATATAATTAGTTCCGTATAATTAACATATTTCCTTTTTGTATCATAAAAATCAGTGTGGATATAAAACCTTCAATTATGGATCTTTATTAATAGTTAATATAATTAAATGTGTTTATTAGAGAGAAACATGATATTAAATATGTTTTTATCCTTTAATTTTAAGTGAGAATTGAATTTATTTTCTCTTCAAAACTTTAAGTCCTAAACATTGAATGAAAACGTGTCAAAGTGTAAATAACTTAAACGTTATCAAAAAAATATGTTTCAAATGTTAAATAAATTTAATACAATTTATTTAAAGTGATTAATTTTTAAATTTAAAATACTAAATTTGATCAAAATTTTGAAAAAAGATTAATTTTAATTTTCATTAAAGGAAAAAACATATTTAACCATTAATATTAATTTTTTTAAAACACAGATTATGATTACTAAATACCAAATATACACTAAATTATATTAATTATTAATATAATTTAAAAAAACAGCAAAGTAAAAACATTTTACGGTAATGTTTCTATTATACTAAAAATAAAATATATCAATATTTTTATAGTCAACCAACTACTTTTTCTATGTTAGAAGTTTATTACAATGATTGATAATATTAAATATTTTATAAATAAAAATAATTTTATTATAATATAAATGAAATCATTATGATTAAAAATTATACTCACAAACATTCATAAGACTATGTTATGATTTTCCTTTTCTTCGCCTTTATCTAACTTTTTAAATATATTATTAAATCTATTACAAATATTTATCTTATTTTTTTATATATTTTTTCTCAATCAAATAATATTATTATTTACTTTTTTTCTTTCTTTTTCATTTTTTTTAATTCTGGAATCTATTCTTTAACTTAAACATATTTAGAGTAGTATTACATATGTTCATGTACATATTTTCCACTCATGCTTAGATATACTTGACTCTAATGTGAAATAATACATAAGCTCTAGAGTAAGAGGATTGAATAGAGTTTAAATTTTTTTTCGCAATTTAGTGTTAGACGTTGTTTGCAAGAGTTAGACGATCTGCAAATTTTTCACAATTTAGTGTTAGAAGTTGTTTGTAGGAGTTTGATGGTCTGCAGAGTTGAGCACTTAATAAAGAGTTTAGAAAGCGTTTATAACATAACAAAAGATAACATATGGAAACTTATTTTATATTGGTTCACTCTAACTATGCAATATGGGAACTCGACAGAATGGTCTAGAAGGGTTTGTTTTGAGTTTTTTAATTTTTAAAAGGTTCAAAACAGTGAACACCATTAAGTACGTGTTTTTAGGATCATGGGCATAAGGGTGACCAATTTTGGTCTAGTTTAGGTGTTTAAATAATAAATTAATGAGGTTTAGCCTCGTAAATAAAACTTAGCCACCTTAAGGGAATTTTTAGAGAAAGAGAGAGGGCTTTCGGGTTTGTCACGCCAAGGTCTAGAAGTTAAAAGGGTTAGAGGTTGAGTGCAGATAAAGGTTTGCTTGGAGTAGAGGAAAAATGAGTTAGCCTTCAATGTCTATGATTGAGTAATTATGTGTGAGTACATGTCTATTCTATTTTTGTGTACGACGTGAGGCTTGGTATGATCATCATGATTGTCAAGTTGTTTTTCTCAAGCCAAACATTATTGTGTTGCACATGTTAGATTGAGTGAAATAGGTTCGTAACCTTATATGATTTTAATTAGGGATTTGTGTGTGTGTGTTCATGTCCATGTTACCTTATGTGTGCCACGAGGTTGTATGATACTACTCATAATTGTCGAGTTTGTTTTATCCAAATGTTATTGTATTGCATGTGTTTTATTGAGTAATGGTCATCCTTGTATTCATAATTTTATCTGAATGGTTTTTTGGGATTTCAGGATTTTTACGAGTTGCATGAATAAGAGACGTGGTTTTGTGTATTATATGATTTTTTGTGGATTATTGTTTTCTATGATTGGGTTGTGTTTTAGTGTAATGTATAATCTCAGGTAAGTGCCAAGCTGTGTAGGAGTGGTTTTGGGTTATGTTAGGTTGTTATAAGGTTAGAATAACACGTGTTATGGGTTTGTCGGGTTACGTATGTGTAATGATGTTGATATATGCCTAGACAGTCTTATTTTGGATAATTATTATGTGGTTGAAAATAGGGTCAAGTTGTTTCGGTATGTATTGGGGATGTGTATGTGTTTCTATAGTTGATTTCCATATTTCTTACCTTGTTATCATAATGTTTTATGACTAGATTGAAGAGTATGTGATGATTTCATGTATGACCGAGTTGTTTGATTCAGTGTCAAGTTGTTTGGAGTGTTTGCAATGTTGGTTGATTTGTTTTTCCTTACTATTTTCTATAAGTCATGTTGCTACGTTGACTATGTTGAGACAATGGAGTATATGTCATCTTAAGTACTCTTTAGCCGTGATACGATAAGGTCCTTGCATTGGTGAGTAGGCCTACTTTGGTGAACAAGTAAGTCCTACGTTGGTTCGTAGGCCTTATTTTGGTGAACAAGCAAGACCCACGTTGGTGCATGGGCCTCGTTTTAGTGAACAGAAAGGTCCTACATTGGTATGTAGGCTCGGTTTTGGTGAACTGATCATGTGTGTTGGAGTACGGAAGATGACATACAGTGATAATGATTGGTGGTGGTGACGTGATTTGTTTGGACTAGAGTTTGGATTAACAATGTATTATTGTGTTGTGAATTTTATTTGATATTATGAGCTTATAGTTTAATAGATAATTGTATTATAATATGTGTTTTTTATGTTAATGATGTTAGTTCACTCTTGTATTTGTGATGATTGGTTTCCACATGCAATGATCAAATTTATATGGGATATGGTGTTATAGAGGATGTTGTTGATGATGTTGATGCTATGTAGATCGAGAGGCGAGTGGAAAATTATTTTCAAGATTTTCAAAAGTTATTTTCTTTAAATAAATTATGTTGAGGACTTTTAGTACGTTATTTAAAATTGTATTGAAATTGATTATTATTTTCGCAAGTTTTATTAAATTTAACGACGACGTAATAAAGTTTTAAAATTTTCACTATGTCTGTGATGGTATCAGAGTTATATTTTCCTAATCAATACGTGTTCTTTTACTTATAGGTGACATCTTAAATCGGAGTGTTACAGTTCACTCCAACTGAATTATGCCCAGCTCTCCTTTGAACACTCTTAAAGGATTTTACTATCTTTAAAAAGATACAATCTTAAACCTCATTCAATCAACCGACCAGAGAATATAATAATTATTATAAATTTTATAGGATATGAAAACCTTATAAAACAAAGTCACAAAATCACACATGCGAACCTTACTTTCTTTACTTTCTTTATGAATGACCTAGTAAAAGTAAAGATGACATGCACACTAAAAACAAGTCTATTTTTACAAATACATAAACAATTAATAAGCAAAAACAAACAAAT